CCCCTCCCGGCTCGGCCCCGCCCCCACCCCGCCGCGGCCCGACCCAACTTGACGCCCGCGCCGCGTCAGTGCCGTCGCGGCCCCGCCTCGCACCCGCCCCCTGCGGCCCCGCTCACCAGCTCGAACCGGTTGTTGACTCGGACTCCTTCTTTCTCTGCGCCCCCGGGGCGCCGGCCGCCCGGCCCCCGTTTTGGCCCTTCTGCCGCGTCATCGTCATCGTGGAGGACAAACTGCAGGGCTCCGGGCCCGAGGGGCTCCTGGCCGCGCTGTTCCCCCCTCAGCCTCCGGAGGGCCCGGCGCGACATAGGACCCAACGGCCGCTGACGTCTGGAGAGAAGGAAGAGCACTCAGGACAGCAGCCGGCGCGCCTGCGCACTCGCGGCGGGCTGGCGTGTCGCGCCTGCGTGCTGCGGTCCTCCGGAACTTCCTCTCCGTCAGCTGTGGCGTCAAAGAGGTTGCGTGCCCATTCGGGTGAATTCTCGCGCGAGGTGGGCGCCTTCGCGAGTAGAGGTCCTGTGACGTTTCTCCTTAAAGCTGGCTGCGGTGGGCCGGGCTGGGCGGGTCGTACAGCGTCCCGGCCCGGCAACTCTGGCTCCGCTCAGCCAGCCTTGGCGCTGCAGGGGCAGACCGTCCCCTCCTTAGAGAAATAAGAGGGGGCCAGCAGGTGGGGAGCGGTTGTCACTGGACTCCCACAAGGACCACCGAGGTTCAAGGTCCGGCATGTGTGCGTGCATGCCCAAGATCCCGAGAGGAGAATGGAGGAGGATTGCGCTACCATTGCCCCTGGGGCGTGATTTCTCACCTTCCCTCTCACTGTCTCCTGGCAACAGCATGCGCCCTGTGGCTGAAACTAAAGAGAAAGAAGAGGCCCTTCTGGAAGTCCGGATCGGACGGCCAGGCCACTGTCATTCCTGCAGCGGGTGCCTTGCCGCACACCTGGGTGTGGGCAGTAGCCCGCAGTCAGGCCTGCACCCGCTGTGCCTCCTCGCCCAGACCGCCAGGGGAGGGGGCCCAGGGGCCAGGCCAGGGTGAGCTGGTGCCGGGGTGACGGCGGAGTGCCACTCTACTGAGCTCCCACTCACCGTGGAAGGAGAGTACTCTCTGGGGACAATCCTGGCTTTTTCCTATTTCAAGGTTGTTTCTCTGGGGGCCCGGAGAGTCAGTCCAGAACATCAGCGGACTGCTGATGGTGGGGTGCTGCTATTCAGTACATCCCGTCCCAGGCACAGTGTCGTTTTGTTTTTTAGAGAGTTTTGTCATAGGGTGCATACACTCAGCAGAGAGAAAGTGAGAAGTCACCGCCCCGCGACCACACAGCACTCCCTTCCCCTCCATTCCCCTCTGAGGATTTTGGGCACACAGATGCTGGGTGTTTGAAGCCAGGACTGAAACCAAGGCTGACTCGTGGGAGTTCAGCACCTTAGAGTGGACCGTCTGCTGCTCCCTTTTCTGTTTCGGTTAGTTTTTTTTTTTTTTTTCTCCAAAGAATTAATTTAAAGTTGGATTTGTTTGTTTTTGAGAGTTTTTTCTATAGGATGCGTGCACTCGCCAGAAAGAGGAACACAGAGAGACAGAAGAGAAATCACCCCTTGGGGGGACGGCCACACCGCAATCCCTTCTCCATTCTCCTCTCTGGATCTTGGGCATGCACGCACATGTGTCAAGTATGAGTTTAAGCCACCGGGTCTAACTGCTGGTCCCAAATTTTTTTTTTTTTTAGCATTGCTTTTTATTTAATTTTAGTTATTCCCTAATTTATTTTAATTTGACCAGAGAGAGACACAATACACAGAGAAAGAGAATGGGAAAGTGAGAAAGCAAGCCACCAAGTCTAGGACTCAAACCATGGTTGACCATGTGGGAATGTCTAGTGCCATAACCACCATGCCACCCGCCAGTCCCCTAAACTTTTTTTTTAAAGAATTATTTAGTATTTATTTACTTCATTCCATTTGTTGTTGTTATTATTTTTCAATTTAACCAGAGAAGGACCAGCAGTTGGCATAATGGCTATGTCGTTGGACTCCCGTGTACTCGACCACGGTTCGAGTCCAGGACCATGTGGCTTAAACTAACGCTGGGGGTGTGTGCGTGTGTGCCCGAGATTCTGAGAGGAGAATGGGGGAGAAGGGATTGTGGCGTGGCCATCCCCCTGGGGGGTGATTTCTCACTTTCTGTCTATCTTTCTGGTGAGCGCACATGCCCTATAGCAAAACAAAAACAACAACAACAAAAAAAAACTCTCAATTTTAACCGGAGAGAAAAAGGGAAGGTGAGAAAGCAAGCTGCCAAATTTGTGCTGCGAACTGCGGTAGGCCATGTGGGGATTCAGTGTCTTACACCACCGTGCCACCTGCCAGCCCCAGGTTGGTTGTTTCTTGTTTGTTTTTGCTATAGGGCACATACACTTGCCAAGGAGACAGCAAGAGAAAGTGAGAAATCACCCCCTGGGGGAGATGGCCATAGCACAATCCCTTCTCCATTTTCCTTTCGGGGTTGTGGAAATACACACTCACACACACCCAGTGCGTTTCAAGCTGCTGGGTCTGGGACTTGAACCGTGGTCATCCACGTAAGAATCTAGTGCCTTAACCATCACCACCTGCTGGCCCCAGGCAGTGTTTTATGATGCATAGTGAGCCGCCTTATCTCTTAGCAGGTCTTATTCTGCTGATTTCTTTCAGAAACAGAGACTTGTGATTCTCTAATTACTCATCTAAGACATTTAAACTCATCTATAACCTGTAAGCCTCTGCTTCCAGATTCCCCCCTTTTTGGCTAGACCAATATAAAATTCATGCTGATTTTTTTTTCTTTAAGAGGTTTTCGCTATAGGACATGTGCACTTGGCAGAGAGACAGAAAGCAAGAAATCACTCCGGGGGGGTGGGGGGGTTGGATACACTGGAATCCCTTCTCCACTCTCCTCTTGGGATTTTGGGCAAACATGCACTTGTGCCCGTGTGAGTTCTAAGCTGCCAGGTCTGGGGCTCAAACCATGGTCAACTACATGGGAGTCCAGCCAGGTAACCATTACATCATCTGCCGGTCCCAAGACTCGTGCTAATTGACAGTGCTCCTGTCCTCAAAACGATAGAAGAGGAACCACTGTATCTTACCACCCTGAGAAATATGATTGTCTTTCTCTAGGTCAGTCACTCATGTTCGTGCTTAGAAATAAACCGCACTGGGGCCAGCAGGTGGCATGGAGGATGAGGCATTGGATTCTCACATGGCTGACCATGGTTTGAATCCCAGTCTTGGAAGCTTGCTCTCTCACTCTCTGTCTCTGGTCAGAATTGAAGAATAATTATAATAAATAAAAATAAATAATTCTAAAAATAAATAAACTGTATTATTGGGGACAGCAGGTGACGAAGTGATTAAGGCAGCTGGACTCCCACATGGCTGGCCGCAGTTTGAGTCCTGGACCTGATAACTTGCCTGCTTGCTTTCTCATCAACCTTAAAAAAAAATAATGACGAAAAATAAAATTAATTATTTAAAAAGAAAAAAAATGAAACCACATTATTATTCCTATAGTTATTTCAGTTCCTCTCTCCTGCAGAAGTGGGCCAGAGAACTGGGTCTGCATCCTTGTGTGTGAGCCTGGACTCCAAAGGAGGAAGGCTGCAGTGGGAACGGGCGAGGCAGGGCAGGGTGGGCTGCAGCCCTTGGGACCTCTCTACCTCCACCCCACTTGTAACGGGAGCAGTCTGGGTGTCCCATGAGGAGGTCACTCGAGAGCATGTGCGGGGCTGTCTGCCTGCTGCCAGAATCTCAGAATCTTTTTTTTTGTTTGTTTATAGAGGTTTTTCCTATAGGGCGCGTGTTCTCGTCAGGAAGACAGAGAGAGAGAAAGCGAGAAATCACCCCCCAGAGGCGATGGCCACACCGCAGTCCCTTCTCCTCCATTCTCCTCTCAGGATCTTGGGCACGCACGCACATGCGCCCAGCGTGAGTTTAAGGCACTGGGTCCGGAACTCAAACCACAGTCGACTACATGGGAATCCAGCTCTGTAGCCATTACTTTAACTGCTGGTCCCCCCTGCTGCCAGAACCTTAAGTATCTGACATGGCTGGCACAGCAGCTGCTCAAGCCCCTCATGGCAGTCAGCTGACTCCTCCCCCAACCCCCCAAGGAAAGGGCATGCTCAGTGCCCCACCCTGTGCCCTCTCTGCCCAGGACCAGGCTGGTGTATGCAGGGTTCCTGCACAGGCTGTGGATGGAATGGAGGTCTCACCATTAGTGGGGTCGGGTACATCTGGCCCAGCTGGGCTGGCGTCTTCCTGGATAGGCGATTCCCCACCGTGTTGCCGAAGGCCTGGTCCCCTAAGGAGAGCTGGCACTAAGCAGCTCCAGCCCTACGTGACTGCCATGTGCCAGGTCTGGCGGATGAGGCCAAGGCAGGCATGGTCAGGGGCAACTGCCTGAATTTCCCTGGGGCTGGAGAGAGGCCAGTCCAGCTCCCTGGAGGCACCAGAGAGGGGGCCGGCAAGAAGACAGGCCGGTAGTCTTGGCTTTGCCTTCCCGGTCACACCCACAGCTGCCACAGGAGGCAGTGTCCTGCAGGTGGGCTGTCGTTCCCAGGAGTTCCCATGTTAGAATCTTTATTGGGACTATCAGGTGGCACGGTGGTTACGGCACTGGACCCCACCTGCACCCCCCCACCCCCACTGGGGAGTGATTTCTCGCTTTCCCTCACTGTGTCTGTCTGTCTCTCCAGTGAGCACATGCACCCTAAGGCAAAAACATCTTCAAAACAAAACAATAAAATAAAGAACCTGTAGTTCCGCATGACTGGGAGTTTGAGATGCCTGGTGCCAGTTCCTGACTTGCAGGACTGGGAGAATATTGAGTAACACGTCTGCCGAGCTACACCTGCCCGTGACGTGGACAGACGTTTGCTCCTTGTGCCATGTGGCCGTGTGACCATCTCTGTACCTGCTTTCTTACTTTTAGAAAAGCAGGCATGGAAATTCAGGAACAAGGAATTTGTGGAGCGCTCAAACAAATTCTAGGGCCGGCTGTGTACTGGGTGCCCTCACGTGTGTGTATGGGTGTCGGGTGTCCCCTGCAGGCCCAGCTGTCCCTCCGTGGCCTCCCCTGAGGTTGTGCAGGTGTTGACTGGTTGGAGGTGCTGGTGTGTTTGGGGCAGAGCCCACCTCTGCAGGCACCAGCGTGGTCTGCTGAGGGGTGACCCCAGCCCTCTAGGCCCAAGGGCTTGTACCTGAAGAGCAAGGACAGGGAGCCGAAGAACAAGGCCACAGGCCACAGGTGGTAAGTAGCCGCCTGAGCCGTGGTTCCCTCTGCAGCCCTGACAGGTAGAGGAGCCCACTGAGCCCCACGGCCTGTCACCTCCGCCCTGACTGTGCTGAGCTGGAAGGCTTCTCTTATCCTTGAGGGCAGGTGGTTTCCACAGCCCAGCTTCACCCAATACCCCGGCCCCGTAGCCAGGCCAGTCCTTGGGGCACACCACAGAGGGAGGGCATGAGACACCTGGTCAGGCCAAGAGCAGCCGCATGCACTGCTCACAGCCCTGCTCCTGGATTAGGCCACCCATAACCCCAGGCCCCTCTGGGGCAGCCGCGAGTGAGCCAGGACAGCAACAGAATGTTGGCCCAGGAGGGGCAGGAAGGCTGGGGTGTGGGTGCCAGGCAAGGGGCAGGGAGCAAAGCTTGGCCTCAGACCTTCAGGATGGAGGCAGGAGGCCCCTGGGTACCTCCCGAGGGAATCTTGTCCTCTCAGTGCCTCTGCCCCCAAAGTCCCCACTGAGGGCAACACAGGGAAGCCTGCGTCCTCCTGGGAACAAAGGTGTCCTGTCCCAGCCTGGGTGTCCTCCCAGGGAGGGAGTCTGTGTTCTCATCTCCCAGAGGAAGAGCCCAGCCCTGGGGTAGAGTAGTGTGGCAAGACCTCTCCCCGTTAGTTCAGAAGCCCATCCCCCTGTCCCCTCCTGGCAAGGAATGCCAAAAGGAAACAGCCTCCCCCGAGGGGCCCTGGAGTGGCACTGCCCATGACAGTGCAAACAGACAGGCTGTGAAGGTCTTATACAAGGATATCTGTATCTGTATACATGTACATGCACAGCGTGGAAGGGGGACTGGCTGTGCTCTGGGACCAGAAGTGTCAGCTCCTGCAGGACCCAGCCCGGCCCTCCTGGGCCCTCACTTGAAGTCAAGAGTCCTGGTGTCGGGGAGGTAGAGAGACTGGGTCTGGCGGCTGCGGCGTGGCGTGGTGTTGAGGACGTCCACACTTCTGCGGCTGGAGCGCACAACGTCGGCCACGAAGCTGGTGCAGTCGCTACAGACGTCCTTCAGGGTGCAGCCGTGTGCGGAGAAGCCGTCCTTCGGGGTGCAGCCGTGTGCGTAGACGTGGGGGAACTCCTCCTCCACACTCGGCCACCGCGGCCCCTGTAGGGGTCTGGGGCAGGAGTGGGCGATCAGGAGGAGCCCCCTCCTGCCGTCTCTCCACATCCACAGCCACTCTCCAGGAGGCCCTGAGCCCCCTCTCCTTCACCATCAGGCATGCATGTGGGTTCCGGACTGCGCATGCCTATCAAAGTACCCTCCCCAGACAGGAACTCAGCCCTGGGCCCTGACCTTTCAAGCTCAATTTGCGCTGGACAGTACATTCAGCCTCCCAGGACCCTCCACAATGATCGGTGTCCCAAAGCAACCACCAAGCACTTGCATTTCCCTGGGGCATCCCAAGGAAACAGCTAGAACCAGCACCCTGCCCCACCCGCTGTTACCGCCCGACAGCCATGAGCATGGGCCGGAGGCACAGGACGCACTGGAAGACGTCTCTTCTCCGTGTCGGCGTGGTTTTGGCAGCTGACACCTTCGGAGGACTTTCCAATCCCAGAGTGTAGACAGGTATGTGAGCGAACTTCTTAGAAGGCATCTTCATCTGCAGCAGAGAGGGGAATGCAGGAGGCGTCCCCACCCCGTGCCCGGGGCTGCGTCCCTATTAAGGTGTGTAGATGCAGGGCTGGGGGAGACAGCTGAAGACCCTGCTGAGGGTAGGGTGCCTGTTTCTTTGAGCAAATAAAAACAGAGACAAAACCCTGCACTCAGCCCTGGGAAGTACAGGAGGGAGTTCTGCAGGGCAAGGTGAGGTGCCTGGTGAAGACGGGACCACCCAGCTGTGTCCAGTAGGAGACCCCCACGGTCCCAGATGCTCCTCACCTTTACGCTGCAGGAAGTGCAGACAGCTCTGGAAAGGGATGGAGGACAGGGCATCAGTAGACAGCTCACAAACGCCCCCACTCCAGCCATCCTCACCATAGATGCTCGACCCCTACTTCAGTGCTTTTTTCTTTTTCAATCATTATTTTAATCATTTATTTTAATTTAACCAGAGAAGGACAGAGAGAGAGAGAAAGAGAAAGTCGCCAGGTCCAGGGTGAGAACCAGTCGGCCATGTGGGAGCCCGTGCCCTTAACCACCATGCCACCTGCTTGCTCATCAGTACTTTTGTTTTTCTTTTAAAGAATTACTTAAAAAAAAAAAGAATCTCTTTATTGGGAACCAGCAGTTAGCGTAATGGCTATGTCGCTGGCCTCCCACGTAGTCAACCGCGGTTTGCGTCCCAGACCCGGTGGCTTAAAACTCCCGCTGGGCGCGTGTGCGTGCGTGCCCAAGATCCCGAGAGGAGAATGGAGGAGAAGGGATTGTGGCGTGACCATCCCCCCTGGGGGGTGATTTCTCGCTTGCTGTCTCTCTGTCTCTCTCTCTCTGTCTGGCGAGCGCACGCGCCCTATAGCGAAAACCTCTCCAAAAAAAAAAAAAAAAAGAATTACTTTATTTAACTTTGTTTATTTATTTATTTATTTAAATTTGACCAGAGGACAGAGTGAGCGAGCAAGTGAGAGAGAGAGAGAGAAAGCCACCAGGTCTGGGACTTGAACTGTGGTCGCCCACATGGGAGTCCAGCACTGATAACCACGATGCCATCTGCTGGCCCCCAGTAGTTTTTTAAATCTGCTACAGGGTGTGAGGGGGAGAGGGGGAGAAAGCGCCCTGGGGTACTTTTGGGCATGCATGTGCCTTGTGTGTTTCCCAAGCCACTGGGCTGGATCTGGTCGCACACAAGCGTGCCCCGCTGCTGTGCAGCCGGCCCCATCTGAGTCACTCGACTGCAGGTCTTGGGGGCAGCAGACGGTCGGGCCTGCTGTTTCTACTCAATCTATCATTTAGTTGGATTGTTTGGACCACTTACAATTAATGGGATGACTATAAAGCTGTTTTAGGCTGTTATCTTGTGGGATGACTGTGAGGCTATTCTAGGCTGTTATTTTGTGGGTGACTGTGATCTTGAGGGGTGACTGAAGCTGATTTCTTGCTTTTTTAAAATCTATCTGTTCTTTATTCCTATTTTCTTTATTTTTCTGCCTCTCTTTGGATCAAGTATTTTTTTAAACTTTTTAATAATTAGTTTATTTATTTATTTAAATTTTACCAGAGAGGGACAGAGTGAGAGTTCGAGAGAGAAAAGAAAGAGAGAGAGCAGGAAAATGAAAAAAACAAGTCTCCAGGTCTATGACTCAAACTGCAGTCAGCCATGTGGGAGTTCAATGCCCTTAACCACCCCGTCACCTGCTGGCCCAGGATCAAGTATTTCCTATGATTCTATCTTGCCTCTTTTGAGAACTCGCTAGCTGTAATTGTCTTGTTCTCATGGTTGCCTCGTGGTTTATTGTCCACCTGTAACTTGTCACAGTCTGCCTCCAGTAACATGACACACCCCGTGTGGAGCAGGGGAGCTTCACAGCCCACTCTCCTGTCCCTGCCCTCCCTCAGGCTGCATGCTACCCTCTGCTTTACTCAGTATGTTACCGACCCCATGGTCTGCCGTTGCTAGTCTTGTTTTGTTTCTGCAAGGTTGTTAATCTTTGATTGGCTACCAGACCTTTATCTTGGTGGGTTTTTAAGAGTTCCTATTCTTAGGAGTGGCAGGTCGTAGTTGAGGGCACTGATTGACTATGGTTCAAGTCTCGGACCTGGCAGCTTGCTTTCTCACTTTCTCTTTCTCTCTCTCCCCACCCCCTCTCCCCCAGCCCAGTCAAATTAAAATAAATAAAGTAAAATAACATAGTTCTTTAAAAAGAGAAAAAGAGTTCCTATTCTTGGACTGGCCAGGTGGTAGGATGATTAAGGCCCTGTTTTACACACAGCCAACTGTGTCATTCAAGTCTTGAACCAGCAGCTTGGAAAACATGCCCAGGTGGGGACCAGCAGGTGGTGTGGAGGTTAAGGAGCTGGATACTCCCACATGGCTGACAACGGTTCTAGTCCTGGACCTGGCGCATTACTTCTCTCTCGGTCTCTCTCTGTGTCTCTCTCTGGTCATATTAAAAAAGAAATTAAATGAAAAAGTAAAAATAAAATAAAAATAATTCTTTAAAAAAAAAAGAAAGAAAAACATGCCAGCAGGTTTGTGTGCGTGCCCAAAATCCCAAGAGGAGGGTGCAGGAAAGGGGATTGCAGTCCTGTAGGGTGATTTCTCACTTTCCTTCTTTCCCTGTCTCTCTCTGGCAAGTACATGTGCCCTACAGTAAAAAACTTATAAAAGAACAAAAAAAAGAAGTCCTATTCTTGAGCTTTCTGTCTGGGAAGCATCTGAGACATTTGGGACAGTCGGTCCTGTGTTCACCAGGCCTGGGAGTGACGCTCAGCGCAGGGCTTTGTATTCTGACTGGCTGGGCAGCCTCTCCCCTGACCCCACTTGGGGCCTGTGAGCTGTGACGTGTTTAGCCAGGGCTGATGGAGCGCAGCGTGCCCAGCCATCTCGCCTCCTCTCCGGATCTGGGCACACGTGCATGTGAGTCTGGCTGTTTTCTCAGACTGCTGGGTCTGGGATTTGAACTGTGGTCAGCCATGTGGGACCAAACTCCCTTAACCACAAGGCTATGGAACCAGCCGTGTTCCTATAAATATTGAGGACGGGAGGCCAGCAGGTGGCATGGCGGTTAAGGCACTGGACACTCCCACATGGCCGACCACAGTTCAAGTCCCAAACTGGCGGGTTGTTTTCTCATTTTCTTCTCTCTCTCTTGCTCTCTCTCTCTCTGCTCAAATCAGAATAAATGAATGAGGGGTTGGCAGGTGGCGTGGTGGTTAAAGACACTGGACTCCCACATGGCTGACTGTGGTTCAAATCCCAGACTTGGTGGCTTGCTTTCTCACTCCCCCCCTCCACCTGTCTGGTCAAATTAAAATATAAATAAATAAATGTGTCGAGGACCGGTGTAAGTGAGCTTCTATAAAAGGGGCAGATAGCAAACGTTCTCGGCTACATGAATGACAAATGGGCATGACCATGTCCCAATAAGACTTTATTCCTAAAAATGCCAGAGGCCAGATTTGCCCACCCCTGCTTTGGGGTGATTGTTTTCCCAGCCTCCAGTAACCTCCCTGCCTCTGAGTGTTAACTACTGCAGGGTCTTCTCTATGGTGGGCACATGGGCCATCTCCATGGCACTCTCTGCACTGAGACCTGGGTTCTCAGCATCCTCTCCCCTTGGGGAGACCAGAGCCACAGGCAGTGAGGTGAGGGCCTGGCCCCTCGCCTGCTCCCTTTTGCTGCCCGGTGCCTTGAACACCCTGTCTTTGGCTATTACCCCATGCTGGCCGGAAGTGGGGCTCCCTTAGCCCTTCATCTTTAAATGAACTCAGATACAATTAAAGTCCGGAGGCCAGCCCAGGGCCTGGTGGCTAGGGTGGCTGGACCCCACATGGTCAACCACGCAGTTCACAGCCTGGACCTGGCAGCTTGAAAATCACACTGGGCACATGTGTCTGTCTGTCTGTCTGTCTGTGTGCCCCACATCCCAACAAGAGAGATGGAGAAGGGAGTGTGGCATGACCGCACCCCATGGTATGGGCGAGGGATACTTTCTCACTTCTGTCAAGCACACGTACCTTCTGGAAAATAGAAAATAAATCAATCAAATGCCTTCTCTCGAGGACCGAGTCAGCCATGGTAGGAATCACATTCCCAGAATCAGGCCGGGGGGCCTCCTGCCAGCTCTACCCGCTGACCCAGCAGTGGGCGCAGAGGCTCACCTCTTGCAGAAGAGGCAGGTGGGCGGCCAAGAGAACAGCGGGAACTTGGCTTGGCAGCAGCAGCAAATCTGCAGGAGAGGCCTGGGTGAGCCCTGCTCTGTCCGCGCTCACGGCCCCCTGACCGTGCGTGACAGTCCCGGCCCGGCCCCGCTGCCTCACCTTCCCCTTCTTCAGACTGCCAAGGAGCTCCTTGTTCTGCAGGAGCTTCTCCATCTCAGCCTTGACCAGCACGCGCCGCACGTCCATCACCTCCTCCACAGTCAGAGCCAGGCTCTCCACGGGGTGACGGAACTCCTGGGGGAGCCCAGGCTCAGGGGCGGGGCCTTTCAAGCAGGAGTCTGCCCTCCAAGGACGCTGGTGCCTTCCTGGCCTGTCTGAGCAACCCTGATAGTGTCCTAACATACCCTGCTTCTGGGCCGGCAGGTGGCACAGTGGTTAAGGGCGCTGGACTCCCACATGGCTGACCGCAGTTCGCGTCCCTGACCTGGCGGCTTGCTTTCTCACTTTCCCTCTCTAATTCTCTCTTACTCTGTCCCTCTCTGATCAAATTAAAATAAGTAAAATGAAGTTAAATTCAAAACAAAAACCAGAAAACACCACACCTCAGCTCGTCCAGGCCAGCCCTGAGCTCGCGGCCCTCCCCCTTTTACCGTCCAAGTCGCTGTGTCACAGGCACGTGCCATCATGTCCAGCCTTGGGATCGGGCCGGGAGTCACACCCGAGCCTCCCAGGACTCACAGTTGCCCTAAAATATGTCCCTGACTCCTTGATCGAGAAGTGGGCCCCGGGGCCGGCAGGTGGCGTGGTGGTTAAGGTACTGGACTCCCACATGGCCGGCCATTGTTTGCATGCTGGACCTGGTGGCTGGCTTTCTCGCTTTCCCCCTCTCTCTCTCAAATTAAAAATAAATAAAGTTAAATAAAATAATTCTAAAAAAAAAAAGAGGGAGAAGTAGGCCTCAGTTCCTGTCCCCGTGGGAATAAGATGTGACTCGTGTGTCACGACCCTGACGTGTGGCATCCGGGGACCCACCACCGTGTCTGCTTCACTCACTCCCAGGCCGTCTGCTCTGAGACAGCTCCCTGGCGAGGCCTGTGACAAGGTACACAAACCGCCACGTGTACAGTGCCACCTGACAACCCCAGGCATGCCCTCCCAGGACACTGCCGCCTCCTGAGGACTCGGGCCACAACCACCTGGCTGAGCCCTCGGGGTCCACAGGAGACGGTGCCAGTGTGAGGGTGTGTAGGCTCAGGAGGTAACTAGTCAGGGAGTGTACAAAGTAACGTTACTTGACGCTGACGCGGCACTCGCACCTTTCAAAGGAGCTTAACATCTGTTCTCACCTGAACCTCTTGGAGAAAAATCTCAAAGAAATGGGACAACCACACTGTCCATACCCTCTGCACTCCTGCAGGGTGCCTTTTTTTTTTTCTTAAAGTTTATGCATTTATTTCTTCCAGAAAAGAGAAAGAGCGAGGAGATGCACCCCGCACCCGCACCTCAGCCAGCCCCGATCTGGGCACAGGGGCCTGCAGTACTCGGGGAGGCCTCTGGGTGTGCACCTGGGCCCTTTCCAGCCTGCCCACCTCCCTGGACGCTGCCTTTGCCTCTGCACCACTGTCTGCCCTTTCCCAGACGCTTACACTCCTTTAACCGCATCTGATAGAAGCACCTCGGGCCGGCAGGTGGTGTGGTGGTTAAGGGCGCCGGGCCCCACATGGCCAACCACGGTTGGAGCCTTAGACCTGGCGGCTTGAGCTAGCTCTCTCTCTCTGTGGTCAAAATTGAAAAATGATAATAAATACATAATTCTTAAAATCAAAAAAAGGCACACACCAGGCCAGCCCTGTAGCTTAGTGGTCAGTGGAGCTGGATCTCACCTGGCTGACCGTGGCTCAGATCTCAGCCCTAATAGCTTGAGCACTGTGCCAGGCTCCAGTAGTCCCCAAATCCCAAAGCTTACGATTTTGAAATGGAGAAGGAATCGTAGCATGGCCATGCCTCACTGGGGAGGGCTTTCCGCGAATGCATACACTGACACTCAGGCCCAAGGGGGCCCTCCGGACACCAGACAGCACTCACGGAAGATGAAGCCAGGCACAGAGGAAGGCAACACAGCGGCAGAGCTGGGACCAGAGTCGAGGTCTCGACACAGTAACATGCTCCCTGACACGTTACAGGCACTCCAGGCACCGGGCACGTGGGGTCACCACCTGTCTCAGCCACACCAGAACCGGAGGTTGTGCGTGTCCCTCCGTCAGGTTGTCCTGGGCTCCGGGGCTGCAGTGTCCATATGCCCAGCAGGTGGCAGCAAAGACCGCCCTCCCAACCACAGCCCAGGCCGGACCCTCCATCGTGCCTGAAGGCAGGCTGGTGCCTGATCCCAGCCAGGGATGAGGATGGGCACCCGGGAGCCCCCGGGCCGCTGTCCAACATGTCCCCACTCACCAGCCACAGGTGCTTAGCATCTGGGGCCTTGCAGGCCTCCTGTCTGTCCTCTGTGGAGCCCGGGCTGCTGAGGGGCAGGGAGCTGGGGTCAGGCTGGGGCCGGACGCTCACTGGGCAGGAGCCTGGGGAGGAGCACAGCAGGCTGTCAGGACCGCCTGTGAAGTCCTGCAGGGGAGGCAGCAGGGTGGGCCTGACACCAAGCAGAGATCGGGTGGGAGGACGCTGCGCTGTCTGGACCTTGGCAGGGCCCTTGCAGGTCTTCACCCACCCAGGAGCAGCCGACGCTGGGTCCCACACGGCCAGCAGTGCTTGCATTAGGAAGCCCTTGCTTAGTCCCACACGCACTGCGGCCCGAGGGCGGGGCAGGAGCGAGGCGTGGAACTGGCCTGGCCTGGCCCTGAACGCTGGGGAGCGAGTCCTGACTCCCAGATGGGGTTGTCCTGAGGGTGGCCAGGACTCTCAAGGGACCTTCAGGGCAGAAGGGGAGGCCGGACACATCTTGACAGCCCTCGGAGGAATTCAGCTCTTACCACACCGGGCCAACCCTGTCCTAGCCTGTGTGCCAGCCAGGCTCGGAGCAGGGTATGTGTGCTTGGGCTTGGGGACACACATCTCTGTCACAGAGGGAGGGACGGGCTGGCTCTCGCGGTCCCCAGTTCCTATGTCCCCTGTGTCCCAGGTATGTTGGTACCTGTTACCTCTAAGAAACAGAATTATGGAAGTTTTAAAGTCTTTTTAAAAGTTTTACAATGAACATGGGGACCAGCAGGTGCCACGGTGGTTATGGCACTGGGCTCTTACGTGGTTGACTGTGGTTCAAGTCCTGTCCCTGGCGGCTTGCTTTCTCACTTTCCCTCTCTGTCTCTGTCTCTCTCTGGCCAAATTAAATATTAATAATTGGAACCAGCAGATGGCATAATGGTTACGTTGCTGAACTCCCACATAATCGACTATGGTTCAAGTCCTGGACCCAGTGGCTTAAAACTCACACCGGGTACATGTGCAGGCCCAAAACAATCCCGAGAGGTGAATGGAAGAGAAGGGATTGTGGTGCGGCCACTCACAGGGGGTGATTTCTCACTTTCTGTCTCTGTTTCTCTGGCATGCACACGCACCCTATAGCAAAAAAATCTCTCTAAAAATAAATTAAAAAAATAAATAAATAAAAATTATTCCTAAAAACGTTTAACAATGAATATGAATTATTTAAGTGATGGTCTCAAGTACTATAGTGGGGCTGCTTGCTGAGGGGGAGGGAGACAGCCCCAGCGCCGGCCTGGGTGCTGTCTTCCCCACGCAGGCCGAGGTCGAGGGACACGGCTTCCCAGCGGTCTGAGGGAAGGCGGGTGGGCAGAGGGCAGCACTTGCCCTGGTCTCGGGAGCTGGGCCTCCATGTGTTCACACTGCCTGCTCGGGGCCGGGTGGGCTCCATCCGTCCTGGGGGCTGAGGGCCTGGCGGCAGGCCCGAGGTCACCTCACCGCGCAGCAAGGCCAGGTCGTGCTCCGAGAAGGACCGATCCCGCTTCAGGGTCACCTCCCCGCATGGAGACTCTTCCTCCTGCAGACAGACACAGCGGCCTGGCCACAGGCACAGAGGCAGGCGCAGACACAGCGGCCCGGCCACAGACGCCGACACACAC